CTCACACGCACCCCTATACCCCCCACCTCATCATACATGCACACACCCCTCACACACCACCATACATACACCCCTACCCCAACCACACCCCGCGCCCCCCACGCACAATCTACAAGAGTAAGACTTTATTTTTGAGTTATTATGCAAATCACTTCTATATACAGTACACAAACACAAATCATGACAAATCTGCTTTGTAATAAAATTAAAATACATTATAGCTGGTGTTGGACTTTTAGTGTACGATTTGGATTTCTTCCGGTTCCAACATGGCAACCTTCCCCTCCCAAAAGTAGTATTTCTGGGGAGCAAAGGGAGGAACTTCCAGTGGCAAAGGTCAGAGGTTAGAGGGCAGGACTTTCAGTCCCAATATGGCAACCAGGGGGCGGGGCAACTGTCAAGGGGTGGGACTACCCATGTGGCCCCTTGACAGCTGACCAAAACTCATTAAATGGCCCTCCAGCCAAAATAATTGACCGCCCCTGATATATGTCAACAGGGAAACACTTCCAAAGTGACAGCAACATTGTTTAAAATTAGCATAAAGTATTCTAAAAATAAACTTGTGCTCTTGTGAAAAACAAAGAGATAGAAAAAAAAGATGCATTTATCTGAAATATTTTAAAATCCAGCAATGGGGCATACTGTATCTGAAAGTCGAGAACAGATGCAAAACCCCAAGTCTTTCCATACTTAGCTTGGAAAGACACTGACAGGCTTTGGATGCAAAATACTTTCTAAATGATGTGAGGACAACAGGACTGCAAAACCACAAAGGACTGCACAGGAATATTTAGGGAACAAATCTCTTGAAAAAGAAAAAGGGGTGGCGATCACTTCTTCAGAAGACAGTGGGCACATCTACATGTTCATTAATGTGTCATAATTACAGCGCATTAAGTTGTCATTACCTGTAATGACAGGTACTAACTTAATGTGCCATAATTGGAGCTACTGTGCATTAGAACGCTTTTTTAGTGACAATAATGCACATTAGACTAGATCGAGTGTGCATTAGCATGGGTTTTGTCTGCTGCACTAATAGACAGCAGAATGCTCATTAAGCGTCTTGTGTAGATATGCCCAGCGTAGCATAACCTGGAGAATATATTTCCCTGGAAACTCTTATTTGACTGAAATGCAGTAAAAATATGCATTATTTTAGCCATTACTTGCTCTTCAATCCACAAGAAACTAATGCAGGACCAGAAAAGCCCCAACAGCAGTGTCCTCCTAATCCATTCTAACCTCTCAGACTATGAATTCCATAATAAATGACAGGTATCACAGAAATGCAGGTCATTTCCAAACAGACTCCTCTTGGTAAGATCTATGATACTTACCCTTCATCAGTATCAACTACTAGTCTGCTAATAACTTTATTTTTCACGCCTGCTTAAGGTGAATTAAAAACAAAAAGAGATACTGGATCCCACCCCCTGAACCTTGGGTTACCATGCACCTACCGCTGGCTTTTGATTCAGAGTATGAAGGACTGTCCTCAAAAGTGAAGATCTGCGGAACACATGCAGGAGTTCCAACGCTCTGGCCCAGGTAGGGAGCAGGTGGGTAGTAAGAGTGCATCCTGTACTGAGAGCCCATGGCATGGCGGTTCTCGGAGCTCTTTACCTGTTTGAAGAAAGAATCAGAACAGTTGTATATAAAAGTTGAATCTCAGAGTTTTCTCCTTGTCCTGCCTTCACATATAATTCACTGACCTCAGGGGCGGAAAGCACATTCCCTTTCCTGAAATCTATCAAAGACAAAAATACACAATTACCTGTGGGTGTACACTTTTCACAAGATAACCACTCTCTCTCCAATCTCTCAGTTCTAATCCCCAAAGGGAATTTACAAGACACCTTTCATAGACAAGCACGCAAATGTCACTTAATAAATCTACTGCATGCAAAAAATCATGTACTAAATATAGACATTGGCTTTATGGCACATTATAACCTGCCTGCCATTTGATAACCCCAGGTAAGCTGTCTGCGTTTTACCAGCTGAAGTCCTCTCCTTTTTCCCTCCCTCCTACCTTTCTCTCACCTATTGTCTCACAGGGCCTCTGATTCCACCCCCCCCCCGACATGCATTTGCATTTTCACAGACCAGCATTTTGCATACTGGCTTCCATTCTACCCAGGAGAGAACACAAAGAAACAACAAACTCCCTGTGGCTGAAAAAGGGTGTTTGTAACCAAAAGCTTGCAAAGAACAAATTTCCCAACTATTTAGCTGGTCTCATAAAAGATACAACATTTACCTAAAGAACCTTGTCTGCATACGTCCTTAGACCAACACGGTTACAATCAACAACCCTAAAATAAACAACCCACATTTTCCTGGATTTATTTTTAAGTGAATTTAGAACATACAAAATGCTCAACTGACAGACCCAAAGACTGAAGTCCCCTAGCTATTCATGGTATAGAGAGTATTACTGAAAGTCTCCCAACTCCACTCTGCCTATGTGCCAACCCTGACTAACAGAAGAAGGAGATGAACAGATCTCAGCACCCATTCAATCATTAAAGTCTCCAAAGAGATTAACAGCCATTGGACTGATGATTGATCCTTGCAGACTCATATGTTCTCTAGTTACATTGATGTAATCTAATAGTATCAATCTACATATCTATACAGACCCCATCACTTTAGTATCTGAGCAACTAACCCACAATTAATTTATTCTTGAAACCCAGGGGGATTGGAAAATATTATCTCTATCTGATAAGGGGAAAGGAGGCCACGGATGAAGTCATAAGAAATATGTAACAGAACCATGAATAGAAACTACTTCCATCTATTAGTCTAGCACCTAAATGACAAGACCACGCTTTTCCATTTCACAGGGCCCAGAACACTTTCAAAGAGTATCAGCTCTGGGTTTCTAATAAGCTGTGATCCTGACTCAGACCCAGAAGTGGAAGTGTATCCAATTTCCAGTCCCATGAGCCAATATAATCTGCCATCCTTTCTTGATAAGTTGGAGTACTTCACATGATTAAATCTTTTATAATTTGTTTCATGAAAGAATAATCTGGCACCATTATCTGTTTCAAATTTCCATAACGTGAAACTTTTGCAAAAAGAGTAGAGTAATTGAGAAATCTAGGAGGCCATTATCACTAAGGATATTTAAATGCTATGAGAAAAGGCAGTATCATATTTTCTAGCTTCTGAAGCTGATTTTGGTATTAAAAATTAGGTGATAAAAAAGCTTCTGGCAAGGGAAAAATATTAATTATAAAAATAAAACAATTACTGTATTATTAAACTACTGCCGGCATCAATCCTTCGATTTGAAGATGATCTCTACCCAAGGCTCACCGAAGGGTCCTGTGATGACACAGGAGTCTAATCCATGAGCCACAGATTCATCCAAAGAAGTTGCTCACCTTTTCCTTTCTCCACTCTTTCTTCTCTGCTTCGAGGGCAAGATGCTTTACCTTGAAATGGGCTGCTGCTTGGTTGAGGTTGCAGCACCATTGGGGTCAGTTGCAGCCAGCTCCTCCTAACTGTTGATGTTGGCATCTATTTTCTTGAGGTACGCTTTCAATGTGTCCTTGAGGCATTTCTTCTGGCCACCACAAGATTTCAGTACGTTACTAAGCTGGGAGTAGAGCACTTGTTTTGGGAGTCAAGAGTCAGGCATCCACAAGCAATGTCCATTCCAGCAAAGTTGGTGCTTAAGGATCATTGACTCAATGCTGGTAACACTGGCTTCAGCAAAGATGCTGGCATGTGCATGGTGATCTTTTCATTTGATGTGGAGGATTTTCCAGAGACATAGTTTGTGATACTTCTCCAGGCTCTTGATACAACAACAATAGGTCACCCACATTTCATACTGTAACCTGGGTTGTACTCCAGGATGTACCCCCTCTCCAACTGAAGGGCTCAGAGCAGTTGCACAAGCACTGTGGGAGGTGTAGGGACCCTCCTTCCCCTATGGAGGAGAGCCAGATCACCAATGGGGACTTAACCATATACCTTTTAATGAGAAACAGTAGGGGGAACATAACCACTCTAAACCAGGGGGTATAGGGAACACTACAATGTCCCAAGGGGGCAGGATTCAATAAAGGTTAGGCACTTACAATCATAGACATATTCATTCAGTTGACAAAAGACAGGTTTAACAAAATATAAAACACAAACAGCAGAACAAACAATACTGGTTGGCAAAATATAAAATGCACAAAATACAAAATGTTAAATAACAAGCAATATAAGGCCTAGGTACCTGGAGGGGGGGGAAGAGGGAAAATGCAATGACCCCCTTCCACTGCAACAAGAACTTCTCCCTATTGCTTCATTCACCCCAGCTGGGGCTTGAACTCAGACCTCCCATGTGGTGGACAGAAACTCTACCATACAGCCACCAGCACTGGTATGACTCTAAGCTGCTAGGGGTTTTGACCTTCCAAGAGCCCCAGCCTCACGCCAAGCTGCCTGGTCTCTTGCTGAAGGAGCTGGAAGCAGAGCTGGGAACCTCTCAGAGGTCACTGCTCAGCTTCTGGCTGGAGCTGGGGAGCCTCTCCTGCTGGCTGCAGCCTCTCGTAATAAAATCCTGGAGCCCAGTGGGGAGCCTCTCCTGCTGGCCGCACACCGCACTGCTGAGGGTCCAACTGCTGCCTGCAGGTCCCACTCCTTCAGGGTATTCTGGGGCAACTGCTCCCACCCTGCTGGCCCAGCTCTTTGAAACTCCTTACTTGCGGTCCATCGCCGGTCTCCTTTGAGTCAGCTGCACTGCCCCTTTTATTCCCCTCCAGGTGACCCAAGGGGCCAATCAGGGGACACGGAGGGTGAGTCTCTGGGCCTGACTGATGAGGAAAGGGAATCCCAAGCCCTCCAAACATCTTTTACCCTTTCAAAACCCCTGAGCCAAATCACCACCACCCACCCCGTCACAATATCCATAGAGAAGAGTGGGAATGATGACTGCATTGTAGGCCTAGATCCTGGTGCCTTTGTGGAGATTGCAATAAAGACATGCCAAAGCAATTTCCCAAAGGAAGCACTTGCGCACTGGATCCTGTGCTGGATCGCTTCATCAATGTTCACTCTCTGAGAAAGGTGGCTACTGACGTAGGGGAAGTGCTCAACTACCTCCAGGGTCTTTCCCTCAATGGTAATTTGAGGAGGAGGGCACATTCATGGCTTAGAACAGGCTGATAGAGCACTTTAATCTTCTTGGTGATAAGATAGAGGCCCAATATTTGGTAGGCTTCTCCAAAAAGATCCAGCATGGTTTAGAGATTTCCCTCAGCGTGTGCAAGGCTGGCATAGTCATTGGCAGACCAAAGGTCAACGATGTTTGAGTACTTTGGTCTATGACCAAAAATGGCCCAGATTGAAGAGCCCTCCATCCTTTCAGTATTCTATGTCAATTCTGGAAGGAAGGCATCCTTAATGAGAACCAGGATGACTGTCACAAAAAATATAGAGAACAGTTGGGGTGATGACACATCATTGCTTGATCCCAGTTTGGATGACAAATGGATCTGCCTCTGATCCACTACATGGAACAGTTGCAGTCATGTTTGTGGAGAAGCCTCAGGATTGATGTTACTTTTCAAGAAATCCAAATCTGGCCAGTACTTTCCACAAGGCTGCACAACTGATGGAATCAAAGGCCTTAATATGGTCAATGAAGGCCAAATACAGGCCCTGTTGTTACTGATACTTTTCTTGGATCTGGCAGGCAACAAATATTGTATCAGTTGCCCTACAAGATGGTCTGAAGCCACCCTGAGATTCCAGCAGGACTCCCTCAGCAAGAGGTAGAAGACAGTTCAGGGGAATGCACGTGTGCAGGAGGATGCCGCTACAGTTGGTTTTCCATACTCCTTCCTTCCCAATGTGGGGTGAGCAGAACGGATCCTGAATAGGACTGCTCAGTCATAGTAGCAGCTGCCAAATTGCACCCGTCTCAACCCAGACACAAGATGACCATCAGGCTACTGCCATCTACATGCAGGTTAATGGCTGGAGACTGCTGGATTCACTAGTCCTCTCTCTGTCACCACTGCTCTATCACTGCAGGGCTTTTTTTGGAGGTTGGTAAAGGAAAGCGTGTTGCTTCCTCTGGTATAAGTCTGTTCATGACTCTGTTTAACATGAGGAAGCTCTTACATGGAAACAGCAACCACATGATCTTGGCAAAGTAGAGATCTGGGCCCTGTGGCAAGGAGGAACCCAAGACGACACGACAGGAGACCTCCATCTTTTTGCAGCCTTCTTCCGTCTGAACAGCAATTGAGATCCTTACATCTTTTACTGCCTGGTCTGCTGTTGAGGATTGTAGTTGCACTAGTAAATCTAATCCAAGGCTCATCTGGAACAACTCACCTGTCACAGAAGTTCTTCATCTGAGTTAACGTTGTATTTATATTGTGATACTAGGTTGTAGGTTGTTCCTTCTATCTGCTTTTGCCTGCGGGCTTCATTGGAATTTGACCCCATATATCCAATAAAATAATTCACTAATCACAGAAATAAAAAACAGGAAGTATTTTATCAGGCCTAGCTAATGCATACATTCAGAAAGTATTTTTATAATGGTTCCCTTAGTTACATACACTTAACATTTAAATTGCTAAACTGGAATTACTCAATATAAT